GATGGGTATAATGGATACGGTGGATATGATGAATATAGTGGTCGCGATAGAGGCTATTATTATCGTGATGGAAGATACGAAAGAAAAATCTCACCAATAATGAGTCCTATTATATCTCCGGTATCTGGCTAGGAGAATAGGGCTGTGTGACGTAAGATTCGTATACATTGTTTTTTTTTTATTCCGATAGATGATTCTGGAATAGACTAATTTTTCCCGGAATAATCTCATTTTCGAAATGTTAAAGCGAGGCCTTAGGAAAGGAAGGTAAGTATTGTATTCTTATTGTATTGCAAGTTCGAGACCGGAGGAAGATTCATCTAACTAAGTATTACCCATAAAAGAAAAATTCTTTTCGGGATAGTTTCTCAACATGGGATGATAGACGGATTTCTCTCGATCGGTGGAAAATGTGAGGCAGGAGCGGAAAAATCTATTCCGAATTCCGTATGTAATTCGTAGCCAGAGGTTATGTTATCTACTTTATTAGATGCTTAAAATCAAAGCGGTGATATTACCTTTCTTGATCCTTAAGTGATAATTCGCCCGACATGTGTAGTGGGAATATCTTGTTTCTGAATCTGGAGAAAATTCATCCTCGAAAAAGATTTCAGAAGGTGTTGGTGTTTCGGAACTAGCTCCCTGTTTATTATGCAACCAAGAGCTTTTATTATACAAAATAAAAAAGTCATTCACCATACTCACCTGACATATATATCACCGCAATTGTATCGAAAGTTCTATGACGATTTTTTTCCGCTATTTCCGATCCTGATTTTTCGTGATGCTGGCGATTCCAAGTCCGCGGGTAAATTTTCACTAAAGCTGAAGCAACCAGGATTCCAAGACCTCGGACAGGAAGAGGTAAGTTTTTAGTTGAACCCGCTTAAATCAAACGAAGCTAATCGCCTTTACATCCATCACATCCATCATCAATCCCATCAACCGAATGATACTTACGGTATTTTGATCCTTGATATTTACCGAGAAATATGATTCGACTAGGAGCATTCCGCTCCCGGATTCGAGTTGCGAGAAAGGCTTAAATAATCTTTATTTGATAGGATGATTCGAATCGTGATTCGAAAATTTGCGGAACCCTACCGAGAGAGAAAAGTCAAGGGATTTAAATCCCTCAAATGAAGTTTCATGTATGTAATGTCGTGGTCTTCCATTCCGAGAAATGCGGAACCTAGGTGTAGTGGTGGGGTTAATAAAGGACAAGGGGTACCATTCAAGCGAAGTAAAAATAAGCATGAATACCTGACCTCATAGAAATACCATGTATCTTGGGATAGTTCCGACATTTTTCAAGACGGGTGAAGTAAAATTATTTCCGAATTCCAGCCCCTGCATCGTTTTCCATCCTTAAGATATAGTCATGTCACACGAAAATAAAAGAATTTTAACACTGCATATGATCTCTTAACCGGTAATGACTTATCCCTATATACTATATTCTGCTGATCGCTCGAGAGTAATGCAAGTTATTTTTGAAAATTAGGATCGACCGGATATTAAGATTTTCATGTTTTGTGACGATCGTAGCTCTTAACTGCGGAAGGGTCTTAATTATAAAAACTGGGTGTATTGGAGGAGAACCCTTTCTAGTGAGAAAAAAAAAAAAATCAAACCAAATAACTTTCACGCATTTACAATCGAAACAAAATTCTGCGTATACTCTCAAAAACTCTAACAATCTCACTTGAACTAATTTCTCATCTATCTCCGCAAAATGCTTTCAAACTCTGATATGTTTTTGATCGTACTCTTCAGAATCGTAATTATAATCTATGAGATGCTAACCCGAGGTGTCCTATGCTTCAAGGCGTTTTTTCAGGGAATGCCATTATATATATAATCTTTGCGGTGGTGATTATATTTTTACGCAAATATCTATCTCCAGCTTCGGCAAAATCACAAATCGCCAAACTCGAAAAATCTATACTGGCGTTAAATAATGAAATACAAAAAATGAAAGGAGAGGCGGAATGGGATCGTGTATCGCAAGGTAATAAATATTCTGCTCCCCCAGTTATCTTTTTACATATATCCTCAAAGGTAAAGAGGTACTAACTTTTTATTACCTATCATTAGGTTCGTCTCGATTCAGTGCATTCTAATACAGGTTAATTTGCAACTCAGGATCGGCTAGCATTAGACTGTAAGATCGTCGGCGAAGATCCAGGGACTTTTATTCTCAAACTTTCTCGCATATTCTCAA